CAGGGCCCTTGGAGGCACCCACAGGAGCAGGCTCATGAACATCACATGCTTGAGGCTGCTCGGGCGAGTTGGCAGGTGCATTCTTGATCGCCAGCGTCGCCGCAGAGGGTGAAGGAGCTGCAGCTCGAGGGCTCGGCAGTGGGGAGGTCGGATCGCTCAGCAGGCCGTTGTTGACAAGGTCTTGCTCCACCCGCCAGCACTCATCAGGCTTCGCCTTGAGAATGGCAGTCACGCGCTCGAAACGAGCCTGCTGTTCGAACCCCTTCGCTTTCAGTCGCAAGCGGTGGGACTTGTGCTCCTTAGTCTCTCCCGCACGCGGCGCCATGCCGTGTGGCCCCAGACCCCGAGACCTCGAGACCTCGAGACAGACCAGAAACGCACTGTCCGTGCCAAAACAGCTGCGGGACAACTGGACTGACAGCGACGACGCCGACGCAAACAGGGCTGGCGACTCAAAGGACATATCTCTGCAGGTGGACCCATTCAGCACCCAGAACATTCACCGAAGCCCCTCAAGAGAGAGGAGAAGAAAAGGCGAGACAGAGGATACTGAGACAGGCTGAGACACGCAAAGGATGAGCAGGGCCTAGAACACAGAGGCGACGCTTGGAGCTCGCACTAGCTTTTATGGGGGGCACTGCGTCACCCCACCATCCCCTGTCAAACACACAATAGTCACGAATGCAGCGTCGCATCAGCGAACTTATCACGCAGCGTGTCACGTAAACAACATCAACAAATCATTCAACAAAATGTTCGTGACCACCTACGCACACATGAAACGGAATCAAACCCAACACCCTTGCCCTAGCCCGAGACCTCATAACACCGAAATTGAGCCTGACAAGCACATGTAGTGTGCTCGAATGTGTTGTTGTTCCTCCTCGTCCTTGGATCCTTCTCCTGCCGTCCTCCTCCTCCTCCCATTCCTCCTCCTACTCCATTTCTTCCTCCGCCTTCTCCTCCAACATCCTCGTCCTCCTTGTTCTCCCCTCCCTCCCTTTTTGCGACGTGGTAAACGGCGCGTGCCTACGGGCACGCCCGACTCATGGGCACAGTTCCACGCGACAGTCGTTTGAGCAGCCGCATCGGGGGTGGTGCTCCGATCGTGCCGCGATCGACGTCGCGCAAGGCAAGCGCAGCATAGTGTTTCTGATTGCCAGCGCGCTCGGGTGGAGGAGGGCGCGCGTCGTTGGGTTTGCCGTAGGATTTGTTCAGTTTCGGAGCGCATGTGTATTCGTGTTTTACGCGGGTGCGCGCGCACACCGTGATGCACCATGCGCGTCAGCCAGGCCAAAGCCGACCGTTTGGATGTCGGGAACACCCGACGCTTTCCAAGGGTGTGGGCGCATTGAAGCAGCAACGCGGGTGATGGTAGAATGTAGTTGGATATTCTTGATATATCAACCGGCTAAGGTTGCCCGCCAACCCCATCTACCCCGACCCCATATCCGTTCTCCTGACCAAAACAGCCAAGATCTGCTCCATAGGGGGGGGGGGAGGGGGGGGTGCGAGGGCCCGCGCCGATGGGCAAAACACTAAAAAAACGATGACCTTGCCGGCCTCTGCTTGCGCATCCGCTCCCACTTGGCTTCCGCCGCTTTCCGCCGGCACTCGGCCGAGGAAGAGACGTCGGCCTCCTCGGTCCTCGAAGGCAGGGCCCTCTCTGGAGCGACACTTCGCACACTGCAGCCTGAACTACTCGTCGTGCACCGCGCCACGGGACCGGCGAAGCTGCAGCGCCGACCGCCGCCGAGCAGCACGCGCAGCTCGAAACCCCAATCACCCGCGCGGATTCCTTGGATCCGCGCTGGACCCCCTCCTTGGCGCGCGAAGCGCGCCGAGGGCGGCGCTGGAGGCGCCGCCAGAGGGTCCCAGCGCCGATCCAAGAAATCCGCCCGGACCTCCGAGTTGTCATGTCTATGACATGATTCGTTCCCTATCTATACAGGAAGCCCCGACACTTGTGGTTTACGCAAGCAGGCGGCGGTGCGATGGTTGGAAAAAACTACCAGGAGGCACGAGCACGTGGGTCCAGAGGATGCTGTCTACAGTCGGGGCCTTGACCTAAGGAACCCAAAATAAGGAACGAGGCCCCTTTTTTCCATAAGTTGAACTTCGATTTCCGATCGAGAACATAAGGAAAACCTGAGGCAAGCTGCGAAACACTCAAGGAACGCGGAGCCCCTCCCCAACGAAAAGGGTTCCTTCTTCAGGGCCCCGATTGTAACCTCGCCCGCATCGAGAAACGAGCGTTTCCTAGTTATCGTGGACCCTCGGCGGCGGTGCCAGATGCACAGGCGTCGAGGGCCAGAAGGTTGCACGCGGTGAGTCGCCTGACTTCTGGTGCTTTGTGTGCGAACGGGGGGCAGCATCCGGCCGCCCCCGTCGCGGCGAAGCAATGCGAGGCTCCCGAGGCTGCCAGTTCGTCGGCTGCCCCTCCCCCCGAAGCGGATGAGGGGCCGCGTCGGCTCCAGCCCAGAGCTCTGGAGGCAGAATCTGGAGAGTCTGATTAGTTTCGGCACGCAGCCTAACCTCACTTGCAGGGAACTGGCTGTGTGCCTCCCCTGCGGTTTTTACCCTTGTGGACTCATCAGGAGGTCCTGTTGAAGAACGCTGCTGCAGAGTACAGTGGAGGCCCATGCCAAGAAACACCAAACACCCTGCTTGCCTCCAAGGTGCCCAAGGTGCCCCTGGGGGTTTTGGGTTTCGATAACTTTGCTGTGGAAAGCGTGACGCTCCCGCGCTAAAAATCAGTGGACACCCCGGGGTCTCGGGGTTGGGTTTCTTGTAAAGGTTTCCTGTGGACTAGCCTACACTGTACCCATCGATCGGAAAAAATAGGTAGAAAGAAGGAAGGCGTTGAAAGTATATTGGGTTCCGATCAAATAAGAAGGCGTGGGTTCCGATCAAATAAGAAGGCGTTGAAAGTAGTCAGGGTTCCGTCCACAACCTGGTAGGACGGAAACGGTGAAGCCACTCGATCACTGAACTAGGAAGGCGCTCAACGCGAATTGGAATCTGGGAATCCACAAATACCCCCTTTCAACGACCGATGGGTATGTTTGGGTGACGCCGACCTCCTCATCGGTGCGGTGACGGACAGACCGTGCGGTGGCCTCGGACCCCCCAGAGGTACGTCACAGCGCGGGGTCGCCGGGCCTCAAGACGGCCCCGAGGTCGCGTCGCGGTCGCCCGAGAGAGCCTCGGAGAACGGCCCAGGGCCCTCCCAAACCCTGCGCGGTCGCTGCGGATCCTGAGTACCTACCAGACCACCCCAACCCAACCCGAAGACCCGAATTTCGGGTTGGGGGGGGTACGGGTTCCACACGTGCGTTTCCTCTTTTTAGGGGGTAAACAAACCTACCTCGCTTTTGACCACCCTCGCTTCCAAGAGACACCGAGCGATGCCAAGCTGCGGCCTGCACTGGTCATGGTCAGGCCTCTTGACGAGGAGGCGCGTGGTATGACTTGGTTTTGCCTGGAAGCGAAAGCGGGGTAGGTAATTCACGCTCTGAGCTGCTCCCATCGTGCGCAAGGACCACAAACCCAGAAATACTTCCGAGCACCCGGAAAAAAGTGTCGAAACAAGTGTCGGAGCAGTGTCGAAACAGTGTCGAAACGGTGTCGAACGAGCATCCTGGCGATTCAGGCTAAATTCGGTTGGAACATCATAAGTAGGTAATTCACGCTCTGATTTTTGGCGACTGCAACACGCTGGACCCGTTCGACTGGGCCTCTGCGGGGGCCAGGCGCGCTGCCCGCCAGAGCGGGCCGTTCTGGGAAAGGTCACGGCGCTCGTCTGTCCGCCGGTCTGGGCAGGAAGTCGGCGTCCTCCTCCTCCTCCTCCTCCTCCTCCTCCTCCTCCTTCTTCCCACCTGTCCCTCCTCCTCCTCCTCCTCCTCCTCCTCCTGCTCCTCCTTCTTCCCACCTATCCCTCCTCCTCCTCCTCCTCCTCCTCCTCCTGGGGGGAAGCGAGAAGGAGAAGGCCTTCCCAGACGGCGACGGGAATTCTCAGAGGCCGTCGCGCCTTCTGAGAAGCGTTTTTGTTTGCGTCGTCGGGGCTCTGGAAACGTCTCCAAGGCCGGGGGGCCTTCCGAGCCTTCCGAGCAAAGCCCGCCCCTCCTCTCGCCCCCCCCTCGCTCGCCGCCGAGGAACGAATGCCTCCGCGTGGTTCCCCACAGCAGGAGGCAGCAGCACGCAGCAGCTGCAGGAGCGCAGGCAAAGGGACACTCGGCAGGGAGGCACCAGGGGGGGGCATAGGAGCACGCAGAGCACCCAGCACGGAGCACAGACCAGAACCTGGAACCTGGAGACAGCCGACTGGACATGCAGTCGACCCGCATTACACGGAAGCACGATGAGGATGCAAGCTCCCGGAAGGCCATGTCGACACTTTGCGAGTGGGGCGCGGCCAGCGAACGCGGCCAAGGATGGGCCGACGAGGGAAAGTGCAAGGGCAACCCTTGAAAGTTGCTCATCCGTGCTACGCGGGTTGACTGTAACAGGGTGCATGAAGGGGCCCTGGGACACACAAACAAATACACACAAATTGAAGGATTCCCCATAGTTTCACATATTTTCTGGGTGTTTGTCTTCTCCCCCACTGCCCATAGTTTCCCATACTTTCTGGGGGTCGACGATTACCTGTGTCTGCGTGCTTCTCTCCCTCCCGAGTGCAGGCTCCTTTGGGGGAGAGTGCTTCCAACCAACACCACACACTCGAAGAGGACCGCTCGTGGCAGGTACCTCTCCAGGCTCTCGCCGGGGCCCCCGCCCGCCCGCCCCCAACGCTGATCCCCTCCTCCTCCTCCTCCTCCTCCTCCTCCTCCTCCTCCTCCTCCTCCTCCTCCTCCGCGCTCGGACTCCCCGCCCGAACGCGGTGGCGGATTCGCGCGGCGGTGCACCTGGAGACTCGTCGTCATTCTCACGCGCATCCTCCCCCTTCGATCAAAAACAAAAAAACAAAAATCCGGCACCGGCAGCCAAGTGCGCGGCGCCTTCTCCCGCGTCGTCGGCAGCGACGGCAGTCACCTTGCAGCGGCAGGCAAAGGGCGATGCGGCCTGCACATCGGTTCCAGGCTGCACATCGCCATCCCGCCTCACTCGACCGCGCGCGTCCACGCCACATCATGGCTGCAATCATGCAGAGCACGCCTTCGTGCTGCTGCGCAGGCGCGTTCTGAGAACGAAGACCAAGGGGTCCTGCGCGCTTGAAGGGGCCCTGGAACACACGAATAAATGCACACAAACAACAACATCCCCCATGTGTCCACATCTGTTCTGGGTTTTTGTCTCCTCCCCCACTTCCCATCTCTTCCCATATGTTCGGGGGAATCGACGATCAATTGTGTCTGTGTGTTTTTTCCCTCCTGAACTTATGTTGTTCCCATCCTACTTAAGGACCACATCCCAGGACTAATTTCGAGCACCGGGAAAAGTGTCAACAGAATGTCGAAACAGTGTCGAAACAGTGTCGGGCGAGTGGCTCCCGGGGCCCGACACGTGAAGACCCTTGAGCGTCCGTACTTTTTTGGGCGCTCGAAATTCTTTCTGGTGATCAAGGCTGAAGTAGGCTGGAGCGTCATAATCCTGAACGAAGGGTCCTGCGCGCTTGAAGGGGCCCTGGGACACACAAATAAATGCACACAAATAACAGGAGCCGCCATATTTTCACACATTTTCTGGGTCTTCGTCCTCTCCCCCACTTCCCATCTCTTCCCATACTTTATCGGGGGAGTCGACGACGAATTGTGTCTGTGTGTTTTTGCCCTCCTGAACGAAGGGGTCCTGCGCGCTGGGGCACGAGTGGGCCCCGGAAACGGCAGGGCCGTTTTTTCACCGTTTCCAAAAGAAGTGTCCGTTGAAAATGGAAACGGCAAAAAAACGGCGACGGGAAACGGCAAAAAAACGGCTCCAGGATTGGAGCCTGAGCCGGAACCGGTCAAAAAACGGCGACGGAACCGGTAACAAAAACGGCGTCGGAACTGGCAACAAAAACGGCAAAACGGAACCGGTAAAAAAAAACGGCCCTGTCGTTTCCAGGGCCCACTGAGGTCTGAGTGTGTTCTTGTGCCCTCCTGAACGACTGGGGTCCTGCGCGCTGGGGCACGGTGACCGCACGCGGGCGGGCTACTGGGATGACCGTGGGGTTTCCCTAAGTGGATAGGGGGGTTACAAGTGGATGCCAAGCTGGGTTATATCTGGCCCAACCTGGCTTATAAGTGGGTTACAAGTGCCCTAAGTAGCGTAGGAGGGATCGATAACTCGGCCACGTGGGCGGAGCCCACCTGGCCCAGATCGTTACCCCCCCTAGGCTATTTGGGGCACTCGTAACCCACTTGTAAGCCAGGTTGGGCCAGATATAACCCACCTTGGCATCCACTTGAAACCCCCCTATCCACTTAGGACCCCCCGCGGTCATCCCAGCAGAGGCCTCCTCCTCCTCCTCCTTCCTCCTCCTCCTCCTCCTCCTCCTCCTCCTCCTCCTCCTCCTCCTCCCTCCTCCTCCTCCCTCCTCCTCCTCCTCCCTCCTCCTCCTCCTCCTCCTCCTATCCACTTAGGAACCCCCACGGTCATCCCAGCACAAACGGGGCGCACCGCGCGCGCCACGCGGAGGAGCTCCCGTGCAGGGCGCGGCAGGGCCCCGGGGGAGGCGGCAGGGCGGCGGGGCCTCGCTCCCCCCCTCTTCGGCTTCGGGCAGTGCCGATGCATCGGGACCATTCTTTGGACGCCCGAGATGGGCACCGAAAAGATGGGTAACCCCAGGAAGCATTTAAGAACCCCCCCCGGCGATACCGTAGCACCGCATTTTTTAGTCGATATTCCGAGGGGCCGAAATAACCGATCGAGAGCTGTAGCACCCGGACACAAAGGAGGGCTCCTGGTGCCAGGTAACGCTTCCAGGGTGCGGAAGGGTTATCGATTTGCCGGAGGGGGGGGGGGTTCTTAAATGCTTCCTGGGGGTACAGTGCCCAGCAGCACAGGTTGTCCCAAAGCAACAGCGGCCGCTGTTGGGCAGGCGGCCCTCTGTCTCAAATGGACAGAGGCCGCGGCGGCGTGGGCAGCGAGTCCTGTTCAAGATGAGCAGGAAGTGCTGTTGGGCATTGTACCCATTCTTTCCCTACCCATTTCGGGCGTCCAGAATACTTCCCTCCGGCTTCGGACAGTGCCGCTGGATCGGGACCATGAGGCTCAGGTCGGGCCTGTCCCCCTGCAGGGGGATCTTGGACGAAAAATCAAAAACATACCCCAAAAGTGCGCCACACGTGCCCAAGAATTGTCACAAGGTGCTCCCCAGGCTATTGTTTGACTGTTTCTGAACATGCCTCCTGTAGAGGGACAGGCCTGACTTCAAATCAGGGGGCAGTGCTTCCAGAAGACACAAAAAGACTTCAGATCAGGGGGCAGTGCTTCCAAAGACACAAGTCAGGGCGGGAGCCGATGACGAGACCGGAGAGAAGACGGCGACGGAACAGGGAGCGGCACGGCGCCGGAACCAGCAGCAGAAGCTTGCGCAAAGAGGCGGCTTTCTCCGAGGCGCCGACCATGCTTACTTGCATGGAAGGGGAGGGGGGTGGGGCCTGGCGAGGCCCTGAAGGAACTCTGGACTTCAGGCAAGTCGGAACTCGCTCGCACGCCGTTTGGGCCCAGCAGTGTTTCATCAGGCGTCGGGCATCTTCTGACCCGGGTCAATCCAGACCAGGGTCAGCGGGAAACCAAGAAATTGCAATGCAAAAACAAAAACAACTGCAACGCAGGTCTTCGCAAACCCGGGTCAGCCGATATGGCGGCCGCCTCGCGGCCACGAGCGGCTCGCTGACCCGGGTCAGCCAGAGGGGGCCTTCGCAGGATCCTGCAGGATCCAGTGCCCTGGCTGACCCCCGTTTGCATTGACCCCCGTCTCAAGGCTCCCGAAGGCGGCGCCGGAACCCGCAGCACAAGCTTACGCAAAGAGGAGGAAGGGGAGGAAGGGGAGGAAGGAAGAGGAGGAGGAGGAAGGGGAGGAAGGGGAGCTCTGACCATGTTTACTTGGATGGGAGGGGAGGGGGGGGGGCCTGGCGAGGCCCTGAAGGAACTCTGGACTTCAGGCAAGTCGGAACTCGCTCGCACGCCGTTTGGGCCCAGCAGTGTTTCATCAGGCGTCGGGGATCTTCTGACCCGGGTCAATCCAGACCCAGGTCAGCGGGAAACCACAAAACTGAAATGCAAAAACAAAAACAACTGCAACGCAGGTCTTCGCAAACCCGGGTCAGCCGATATGGCGGCCGCCTCGCGGCCACGAGCGGCTCGCTGACCCGGGTCAGCCAGAGGGGGCCTTCGCAGGCCCCTGCAAGATCCGGTGCCCTGGCTGACCCCCGTTTGCATTTACCCCGACTAAAGGCTCCCGAAGGCGGCGAAGGGGGGATGGGCCGGGGGGGGCGGAGAAGCCCTGTGCAATTCAGCTTGCGTGATCTCGCTGAGGAGCGCAAGCATAGCGGAGCCCGCGTGCCTGCGCGCGAGCTTCGCATCTTACGCGCGCCAGTGGAGATCGTGGGAAACTTACGCGCAACCTTCCGCGGAAGCTTCGGCGAAAACCCAGCCATCATCATCATCATCATCATCATCATCATCATCATCATCATCATCATCATCATCATCATCATCATCATCATCATCATCATCATCATCATCATCATCAATTTCATCATCAACAGCATCATCATCATCATCATCATCATCATCATCATCGTCATCGTCAGTATCATCATCATCATCATCATCAGCATCATCATCATCATTATCATCAGCAGCATCAGCATCAGCATCAGCATCAGCATCAGCATCATCATCATCATCATCATCATCAGCAGCATCAGCATCATCACCACTACGCTAGTCGTGCGCGTCGCCACCGTCGCTCTCTCGCCCATCATCGTCCGCATCATGACCAGGATCGACGTCAGCATCATCATCATCGTCGTCGTCAGCTGGATGTTCCCAGAGAGGTCTAAGTGTGAGGGGAACGGAACGAACCGTCGGGAGGCCGGTAGAAACTCCCTGGGGGCCTATGAAAACTTATAGGGGTCTCTGGGAGTCCCGCCTGCTGGCGCTTCGAGAATTGTCGTCGCGATCCTTGAAATGACAATAACCAGCATTATCATCAGCGGCAGCATCATCATCACCATCATCGCCATCAGCATCATCGTCATCATCAGCATGCTCCTCATCATCATCAGCAGCATCATCAGCATCATCAAGACCATCATAATCAATAATCATCAGCATCATCATCATCATCATCATCATCATCATCATCAGCGTCAGCATCATCGGCAGCAGCAGCATGATGATGATCATGATGATCATAGTCATCACCATGATCATAAACATCGTCCTCATCTAAACCAGTAGTCCGAAAATCGTCACGATGACCGTCATGCCGTTCGTCGGCCTGATGTTCCTGGAGACGCCTTCGGGATCATCGGCCAGCTACTTGTGGGGGTCTCGGACGGAGAATACCAGAGATCGCTTCTCGTCTCCTCCTCCTCCTCCTCCTCCTCCTCTTTCTCCTCCTGCTCCTCCGCCTCCTCCTCCGCTTCCTCCAACTCCTCTTTACCACCATGTCCATCATCATCATCATCATCATCATCATCATCATCATCATCATCATCATCACCACCGCCACCATCATCATCACCACCATCATCTCATTATACTTGTACTTCTCCTCGTCATCGCAACCATGAACATGAACATCGTCGTCATGATAATCATCATTTGCATCTTCGTCGTGCCGTCGACCAAATGCTCCCCGAGAGGCCTCCTGGAACATCAGTCCGGCTGCGTCTGCGTGTGGGGTGCTCGGACGGGCCGTCGGGAGTACAGGAGTTGAGCACCAAGTCCGATGCGTGCCTCGGAGAGCAGTGTCGAGATGTGGGGGGCTCGAAACGAGCCTTCGGGAGACTTGTTGAAGCTTCCCAGGGGCCTGTGAGTCTTTTAGGGTCTCTTCGAGTCCCGACTCTGGGCATTTCAACAACTATCGTGCAAGCCCCCCCCCCCTAGCCTGGCACATCCCTAACCTAACCTGACCCAACCCCTCTCGACACTGCGCCAAAACTAATCTGAACCATTACAACTTCGACAGACCAACGACTCGGCGAGACCGGTGTGTCACGCGCGCGCTGTACCAAATGACACACCAGAAACATGGAATGCAAAAAGTGATGCCAATTTAGAAGATCACTGATCCCTCTTCGGCTCCAATGAAGAATCTGGCCGACGCCGGGGCCAGAGCAATACTCGCAGTCATGGATGTGGAAGGAGCTGAGGCGATAGCAGCACTGGCAATCATGTCTGTCTCCAGCGCTGAGGCAAGAGCACCTGTCGTAGTCGTGGATGTGGCTGGCGCTGAAGCTAGAATGACGTACGCCATCATGGATGTGGGCGGCGCTGAGGCGAGAGCAACACTCGCAATCATGTCTGTGGCTAGCGATGAGGCGAGAAGACCTGTCGAAGTCGTGGATCTGGCTGGCGCTGAAGCGAGAGTGACGTTCGCAAACATGGATGTGGCCGGCGCTGAGAACAACGTTCGCAGTCGTTGATGCGGCCGGCGCTGAAGCGACAACAAAATTAGCACTTATGGATGTGGCCAGCGCTAAGTCGAAAGCACCGTTCGCAATCACGGATGTGGGCGAAGTGTCCCACTGCACACGCGCACTGGATTTAGCGTAACCAACAGCACCACCCAGACGAGCACGACCTGAAGCAGCAACACAGAAACCCCTTGGAAGCGAAAAGGCGGGATCTTGAAAAACCTATGGTGTTCATTGATTGTTCTTTAAAAATTGTTGTAATATACTGGGGGCCTCTCGGAAGCCTCTTGGGAGCCTCGAGGCCTCTTGGGGCCGTCTTTGGTCCATGTGAAGCTGTCTGGGGCCGTCTGGAGGCAATCTGGGGGGCCGCCTTGGCGGGCTCGAGGGCCGTCTGGAAGCCATCTTCGGCCGTCTCGGAACCAACTTGAAGAGTTTTGGGGGCCAAGGTCGATTGTCTTGGGCCTCCCTGGGGCCCCTCTGTGGATAGTTTTGCACCATCCTGAGGCCTCACGAGCCCCTTGCACACGAAAAGGCGAGATTTGAAAGACCGATGGTTTTCCATGGGTAGCTGATGATTTTGGCTCTCCTGGGAACCTCTTGGGAGCCTCTTCTTAGCCTCTTGGTGGCATCTTGGGGCCGTCTTGGGGCCATCTTGAGCTGCTCAGGGCCGTCTGGAGGCCATCTGGGGCCGTCTTGGCGGGCTCGAGAGCCGCCTTGAGGCGCTCTGGGGCCGTCTTGGGGTTATCCTTGAGGGTCCGAGGGCCCGCTGACCACCCATGGAGGTTTGAAGCATCTGGTTGTGGCCCCTGGAACGCCCACGCCGTGATGCACATACAAATACCTTATGAGCCAGCTTGGCCAAGCCCCTATTGGCAATGATTCGATTTGCAGTGATCGGATTCGCACGTACACATAGCGCTACTGCTGGAATTGCCGACAATTGCATCTGTCTAGATGGACTAACCGTGCCTTGACGCACAAGAAGCTTGAATGATATGTCGTCGCGTAGACCATCTGTTGTCTAGTATGTTGGGTTACCTAAAGAGCATGGCGGGTCTCGGCTCAACATCGGGCAACGGCGATTGCGTCATTTAGTTGGCTGAGATGCGGTAATCGGTGAGCCTCGATCCCCTCATCCTCCCCATCCATGTTCCGCCTCACTATCAGAACCACCACCATCATCACCCACCATGGCATTCAATACCTGCTTCTGATCCGTTTCTTCCTTATCATCACACTTCACATCATCAGCCTCTGCCTCATCATGATTGCTTCTCCCCTCGTCCTCCTCCACCTGTTGCCCTTCCTCATGCTACTATGATTTTATTATTCCTCCCTGGGGCGGTTCAGGGGTGTCTTCGCTGACGGTCTGACGCTCTGACGCCCGTGGGTGTTTCGTGGATGCTCTGACACTGGTGCTGCGTCTCGAGACGCTGGGGTCACTCGCGTGGCCAACGGCCTAAGTCTGCCGCGGCGTGTTCGACAGTAGCGGAGGTCTTATGCTGGCTGTCGGCGATTTCCAGCTCCTCTGGCTCCCAGGCCTCATCTCCGGCCCCCTCAACTTCACGCCAAGCTGCCAACATCACTTCTTGGATGTGGCCGGTCTAAGAGAAGTCGCTGCAAGTCCCCCCTGGCATAACCGACAGGGCTAAAGATGATCCACCTTCGGTGGTGCTAGCTTGCGGTGTCCTCGGAGACGTCGATGACACAATCAAACGCTCCGCCCAAGTCTCTTCTGGCGTCTGGCACCATTGACGGCTCATCACCCAAGATAAACTGGATGATGCGAGCTTCCTTCCAACGCTCGCCGATGAGCTGGCGGGCGTCGGACGTGACGACGTCGAGGTGGATCTGCCGGACGTCGGCAGGGCCCAGAGGGAACCACCGCATGGTTAGGCTGCGGGTGCAGCACGGCCAACTGCCCACAGACTTCTGTCCGCGAGTGCGTCGCGCAGCGCTAACGTCTGGTCTGGTAGCTGAAAGCGTCTGCAGGATCAATGGCGCAGGGCTTCGAGGGCGTCGGGGGCGTTGCCGTGCCTGCTCGCTGAGGTGCGCGCCCTCGGTGTCCTCCCAGTGGCCGAAGGCCCTGGCCCCGGAGCCTGGCGCCATGTGCTCCAGGCAAAATCCTCTACGCAGTCCCAGGCCAAGCCTGCTCGCTCCCTGAACCCACTTCTCCACCCCGCCGCCAAACGAATGAACTTGTTGATTCGCGGGTCGAGAGCGCACCTCTTCCGGTCGACGCTAGGCGGGCCGCGCGAAGCTCGAAGTAACCAGAGGTGGGGGCGGAAAATGGGGGCGCAGCCTCAGAACGAGGCCGGGAGGAGGCAAAGCCTCGGAATCAGGCGGTGCCGAAGCCGACGAATGAACGGCAAGCAATAATTAGGTCTTCTCCAGGGCCCACCTGGCCACCGCCGAAGCTCGCACGACTCGGCTGGTAGCCTCGGCCCCACCCGGCCCCGGCTCCCCGCCTCTGCCCCCATGCCAACCAAGGGAGCCCGAACAACTGGGGTCCACCTGACCACCTAGCTCGACGGACTTCCCCATAACAGGATTCCCCGTATTTCCCCATATGTTCTGGATGTTTGTCCTCCCCCCCACTTCCCATAGTTTGCCATATTTTCTGGGGGACCGACAATTAATAGTGTCTGTGTGTATTTGTTTCCTCTCCTGAAGCATGACGGTATTGTTTGCTACCCTCGCCGTGCCCGCTTGAACCCCAGGGCTTTGAGCTGTTCGAGGAGGTGGCGCTTCTCCCCTCTACAGCTCGGTTCGGCCGCTCGTAAGCCTGCCTCCGTACCACCATCGCCAGCATCAGGAGCACGTGACCGACCACCCCCTAAACTCCTTAACTTTGACGTAATGCCTCTTCCAGGCGTCCGGCCCGAGCATGTCCTTGACCTCCTGGTCATCCTCGAACTCATCCTGGCAATCGTAAAGAACGTCGTCAGTGATGGTCGACGCAAGCTCCCGCTTAGCCTGCGTGATCTCCGCCTCAAGCCTGGTGATGACCTCGTTCTGCTTGGCGATCTCGGCGTTTGCTGCCTCGATCGCCTTCTCCTGGTCGGCCCTCTTCTGCTGCGCCTGAGCCTTCTTGCGCTCCAACTCCGACAACGGGTGGCCCGCGTTCGTATGCGACGTGAGCTGCGGCTTGAGACCTTGCAGCAACTTGCGGGTGTCCCTGACCTTCTCCTGAACATTCTCAATGAGGGCCTTATCCTTCTCCTTGTCCAGGCTCCGGATCGAACTCGTAGGCATCTCAACCGTCTCCCGATCTTGGTCAGCCTCGGCGTCCTTGATCGACTTTGTCCTCCTCCTCCTCCTCCTCCTCCTCCGCCTCCGCACTCTCCTCCTCCTCCTCCTCCGCCTCCTACTCCTCCTCCTCCTCCTCCTCCTCCTCCTCCGCCTCCTCCTCCTCCTCCTCCTCCTCCTCCTCCTCCTCCTCCTCCTCCTCCTCCTCCTCCTCTCCTCCTCCCTCCTCCTCCTCCTCCTCCTCCTCCTCCTCCTCCTCCTCCTCCTCCTCCTCCTCCTCCCTCCTCCTCCTCCTCCTCCTCCTCCTCCTCCTCCTCCTCCTCCTCCTCCTCCTCCCCTCCTCCTTCCCCTCCTCTCCTCCCCCTCCTCCTCCTCCCTCCTCCTCCTCCTCCTCCTCCTCCTCCTCCTCCTCCTCCTCCTCCTCCTCCTCCTCCTCCCTCCTCCTCCTCCTCCTCCCCCTCCTCCTCCCCTCCTCCTCCTCCTCCTCGTGGGCCCCGACCAGAGAGGAGCGGGTGGGGCGCACCCGCGTCGTCAGCGGCGAGGAGGTCAGCCGCTCCAGGCGGGGCGCCCCCCCGGCGTCGTCCTCGGGGGCGCTCCAGGCCTGCGGCGCGGCGCGGGGGCCCCGCGCCGCCCCGCCCGCCTCCGCCCTCCGGGGGATCGAGGGCTGGAGGGTAGAAGACGCTGGAGCCTGTTTTTTTTAGACTCCGGCAAGTTTACTTGCATGGACGGGGGGGGGGGGGGGGCTAGCCTGAAGCCAGCCGGGGGTGGGGGGCGCGGAAATCACGCAGTCGAAAGGCATTTGCACTCTAGTATTCGCTTGAGAGGGGCGAGGGGGGGGAGGGGGGCGAACGCCATGCAAGTAAACTTGCCTGACTCCAACAAAAAAACAGGCTCCTGGGCTCGCGGCGCGGGGGCCCCGCCGCGCCGCCCGCCTCCGCCCTCCACGGGATCGAGGGCCGAGGAGGAGGGGCTCGCCGCGGCGCAGCCTCCGCCCTCCAGTGGATCGAGGGGTCGAGGAAGGCTCCCCATCGCTCTCGGACGTCCGTGCTCCGTGCAGTTGTCTGCGTCGCGCGCGCGGCTGCTTTTGTGTGCAGGACCCTCCAGGATGCTCCTCGATGGGCCTCGCCGAGAAGAAAATACCACGTCCATGCGATGCCAAGAAGATGGGCTCGCCACTCCGACCCCTCTGCGCTCCAAGGATCGAAGGTCGAGAAGGATTAGCTCGCCACTCCGCCCGCCCCCGCCTTCCAAGGATCAAGCGTCGAGGAGGATAGCCTCGCCCCTCCGCCCGCCCCCGCCCTCCAGGGATCGAGGGTCGAGGGGGATGGGCTCGAGGATCGAGGATCGGGAGCACGCCCGGGAAGAGGGAGGCAGAGGCACGAGGGAACACGAGATCCAGGAGAGGGAGCGGGCCAGGGTGTCCAGCATCGAGGTCGAGGATGGCTGCGAGGAGGGGGGAGAAACACCAAGCAAGGGGGCGCTCAGCTCAGAACAGAGAAGGGGTCTGGAGCCCTCTGGTGGCCGTCCAGATGGGCTCGGAGTAGGTGTGACCCGAGGGTCGCACTGCATCGTCGATTGACTACCTACCATACCACGCCAACCAAACCCGAAGACCCGAATTTCGGGCTGGGGGGGGTACGGGTTCCATGTGTTTTCTCAATGTTCCCCGACCCCCCCCCACACACACACACACTGGAAAAGGAAGGCAAATTGAGGGTGCCAGGAGGACTCCCCCGGTCGCGCGCGGACTGTGACTGCCTCCAATAGTAGCCCAGCAGGCCAGGCCGCACCGCATCGGGGGCGCTGCGAAGGAGAGGCTGCGGGCGGGCCTCTCCTGCACAGCGCCTGCTGCTGATCCTCCTCCTCCTCCTCCTC